TTAAACCTAAAATCATTAGGTTTTAATGATATTTTTTGTAATAATCATGGATATTTTGAAAATTAAACTTAATATGTTAGCATTTAAGTATATTTTATTAATATTTAAGATCTTAATCTCATTATTTTTAAAAAAATATTGAGGTTAAAGGACTAAAAATATACTTTTTAAAGTTAAGAGGCCAAATTAAAACCTTATATAAAGTTAAAACACCAAATATATACTTTAACCAAATGTTTTTTTTAGAGAATTATTCTAATTGGGCCTAATAATACTTGAATTTGTTTTAGCGAAATAGTCATATTTAAGGGGGGGTGCACATAAAAAAACAGTAAAAAAGTCTAAAAGAGTGATTTCAAACCTAGGCTATATACTAGAATTAGTTAGTGATTTATATACATCCACAGCCTTTTTTATCTTTTTTTGGTTAAAAAAAAAAGCCAAGAACTTAAAGATGACATTTTCTCACGATCACGTCACCCACACATCAAAATTCAACCATATGACTCCAGTGGAACATGAATTTAAAAAAAAAAAAAAGCGAAATCAACCTCAAACTTGACATTTTCGTTGTATGATGCAATATCTAATTAATTGCAATGCATCATCAAAATATGTCATGCAACACGAAATATCAATGCCACTGTTCTAACTGTACCGGATACAATTCAATGATCTGGGTAGAGACTTTATAACGTGGTAAATATGAGTGACCTGACTTTTGAAACACATAATTTTTTAATTATTTCATTTAATCGGCTTCGACTACAACATATATACTCCTCCGGTCCTAATTATAAGACCCAATTGACTTATTTGAGGAGATTAAGGAAGTAAGTTAAGTTGGTTATTTATAATAAATAAGTGTTGTTATTCCTAAAATATGCTTGCTAATTAAGTATATTAGCTAAAACTATCATTATTAGAAGGATTATCTTGGAAAAAAATGCATAAATATAAAAGAGAAAATGGATTGGGTCTTATAATTAGGACCAAATAAAAAGTCAAATTGGGTCTTATAATAAGGACCGGAGGAGTATTATTTTTGGTCTTAATTATAAGATTTTGTTTGTATATTATAAACAAAATAATATTATATTCCAAGCAATCCCAACTTACTCCTCTTCTGTTTTTTTGGACTGACAACTTACTCCTCTGTTTCTTTTGTTTTTTTTTCCAACGGCCTATTCCGATATTTCTAATCCATTTATGAATCGAAAGTGTTTCTTATGGTGAATTTTCTTTGTTTCAACTTTCCAGTCATTCGGCCAAAAAAAAAAAAAAACTTTCCAGTCAAAATAAATAATTATTGATGCGCCCGAAAAACTATTGATATAATTCATAGCTATCGCTCATACATCCTAAAATTAAGATTTGTTGTAACAATTAAATAGTCTTAGAATCCACGAAGAAATTAATTAAAACTGAATGCATTCATTACATTCTTTCCAATAACAAGTTTTGGAAAATTTTGGCTGGCAAAAAAAAAAAAAGAGAAGGAAAAAAGGAGTTTTGGGGAAATTTGAATTCAGATTATGAAAATTGAAAACCATTGTTCTATAGGCCACTAAAGCCAGCTAGAGTTCCTCCGGGGTAAATGGACAACCTGGAATTTAAACACTTAGAAGTATTTGAATAAAACTAAACCATGATTTGGAGAATTGTTTTTAGAAAAAAAAATTTTTGAGAATAATTTCAGAAGAATAGATTTTGTGAAAAAGTGATTCTGATAAAATGAGAATGTTTGGATATTTGTTATCAGAAGCACTTTTTATATATATAAGTTACTGAAAGGATATAAGTTAATATAAAAATTGCATAAAAGATATATTTTATAATATATTTTAATTTGAAGTAATAAATTTATTAATAATATATTTTTTGCCAACATGATAAATAATATATAAAAAATGTAATTAATAAATAATTAATATGTGTATATATTTATAAAATATAAGATTAAATATATTTTTAAAAAATGATTATTTTTTCTCCTAACAGAAAACTATTATTTTGCCTTAAAGATTTTAAATACGAAATCCCATAACATTTTTTCACAACTAGTTTTTTTTAACGACATACTATCTCCGATCTTTAATATAATTAATTAATTGTTAGTATGTGTATATATATTTATAAAATATAAGATTTAAAATATTTTGAAAAAAGTGATTTTAATAAAGTGAAAGTGTTTAGATAGTTGTTATCAGAAAGATTTTTTTAGGTACAAATTACCAAAAAGAACACAAGTTAATATGATAATTACAAAGATCTAATTAATTAATTTGAATAGCTTAAGAATATTAATTGAATTAGTTAATATGATTTATTTTTTTAAAAACATCTAAGCATCTTTTTTTATTCTATTACTCTCTCTTCTATTTGATTATTGTTGAAAGAATATCAATAGGGCTAATTTGAAAAAAAAATTTAATAATCATATGAAATATGTCTTACATTTATAACTAACATTAACTCTCCAATTAGATTTTATATTAAGAATCAGAATAATAAATTTGTTAATAATTTTTTTGCCAACATAATAAATAATATATAAATATCATTAATTAATTATTAATATGTGTATATGTATTTATCAAATATAAGATTAAATGTGATTTTAGAAAAATGAATATTTTTTTTCCTAACAAAAAAACTAAAGTATGGAATGAAGGAGGAGAGCTAGTCAAAAAATAAAAAGAATGAGGAAAGAGAGAAAAGGAGAAAGGTGGAGGCATCTGACACTTTAACATTGATGGGGCAAAAACTTTGATTCACGCAGTGACGAAAAGCAAAAAAAAATTTTACTTTTGGTGAAACCATGATTTTGACGGAGGAAACCGTGGCTTCAGAAATCATAGGGTGTTTGGATATTTTTTGAATCAAACCTTAGTTTATGCTCTAAAAATGCTTTTTTTAAGTTTGCGGAACACCCCCTTAATACATTGGAAATAATTATACCCTTTCTAAATCTGTAAACAATTCTTAAATTGGTGTATTTCCTCATTTTATTTTAGTTCTTTTAATAACTATTCTTTGTACATTTTTTGTTTCAGTAACTTTTTTTAAATTTAGGATTCAGTAGTTTCTCATTCGATATATTGCATACCAACATTTTGATTTAAAAAAAAAGAGAGGAATGAATGAAAAGGTTATCATGTTGTGATGAGGGTGGGGATTGGTCCCATTTAGGGGGTGTTTAGGTAGAAACAAAATTATGGTTTTAAAAGTGTTTTTACGGTATACAAAGTAAATATACAGAGGAGTTTGCCTCGATTTGTAAAAAAATACCTTTGAGAAATGTTTTTGGGTTATCCAAACACTACCTTAGTATAATGTGTAGAACGAGATGTGGTAAATTTTGATATTTTATCTTTACTAATTTTATTATTTTTATTTTATAAATTGATTTATCGGATTCCCTAATTCCTACCACCTTGATTCTCGAGTTCAATTTCAGTGAAGCCCTGTCAAATCGATATTTCTAATAATATTTTTGTTGATATCAATAAATAATAATCTCGAATACATTTGTAATATTTGGGACACGAGACACACGTGTCTCAAAACGACAAAAATCTCATGGGACTGCCCATTCAATAAGATCTCTGACAGTCTACTAATTTCACATGCTCTCTCTTCTTTTCAAAGTGCACCCTTTGAGTTTGTTTCTTTTGATTGTCTCTCGTGTGAGGAGAGAGAGAAAAAAAAAAGAAGAAGTAACTTCGCGAGATTTGGTCTTTGTAAAACCTTCACCCGTAGTATATAAAATTCAACGAGATCCACATATAGCCTTTTCAGGAGATCATACTTGTGAGGGGAAGATGAGGTGCCAAATTCCAGCTTGGCATTGACTGGTTTATATGGGTATGTAATGATATAAAATAATATACTACTTTCGGTGTTTAATATAAGAGTTTATTTAATTTTTATTTTGGTCTTAAATATAAGATTTAAATCCATTTTATATCTCATATTTATCTTTTTTTTTCAAAATAGTTCTTGTAATAATAATAGTTTTAACTAATATACTTCATTAGCAAGAATATTTTAAAAAAGACAATACCTATTTATTACAAATAACTAATTTAACTAGTTTTTTTAATCTACTCAAATTAGTCAACTAGTTCTTATACTAAGGATCGGAGATAGTATATATTTATGAGGAGAAACAAGAAGGATATGAACAAGCTTGTCTTCAAATCGTAAGATCCTACCTTACCAAAATGAATTATAAAATCCTAGATGGCTTATTCTAATAACTACAAACTCATTTATTTCTTCTCGTTTTTCCCCCTTCAAATCATAGTTTTGTAATAACTTGGGGTAGAAATATGTGATACGCTTAGCTAAGACACTGGGAGAGAGAAGGAAATGCAAGAGAGCGTGAATTCCGGCCGACAAGTGCAGAACAAAGGGCCACCTTCATATTGTAGGGTATGCTCAAAAACTCACCCTATCATTGCATTATTATTCCTCTCTTACTTTTGCTCATTTCTCACTTCATGCAACATGAGGTTAGTTTGAAATTCTCTTATTTATGCCTATTTTGGGATGAGCCTATTTGCAGTGTTACAGCCTGCAAGCTCAATGCAAATTAAATCCTCATAGACCAAGCCATTTTTGCATAAGAAATTTCAAACTCGTAAAGACATGACCTTGTCCCTATTTGTATTTGAATTAGCTTATTTTAACTCATTTTGAGCTATACGAAATAGAAATAAATATGTAAGAGAAATTTTATACTGTAAAGTGCAAAATAGCTTATTTTAAGTGAGTCTGGTAGTTTTAAGTATTAATTGAATGTTTATGGCAGGAATTTAGATGATAACCAAGATGATGCAATTAATGAGCATGTGTCGTGCTTAAATATTCCGATACATGTTTCTGCTCTTTACTACCATACCGGCAACTTGTGAGACAAGAAAAGTACATATTCAAAGGGAAATCTAACTTTTTCTTCATCTGGAATCTGGTTCTTCATATTATGGCAAGGGATCTTAGAAGGAAGGGAAAAACCTGTTAAGTTTCAAGGGCAGTGCGTAGAACTCTTCAGTCCTGTTATCTTGGTTGAAGTTCCTGAACTTTTCCCACCAGTGCCTGCCGCTGTCCCGGCCAGTCGAGGCGTGCCCACGAGCCAGAGTGGAGTCCAAAAAGTAAGCAACTATGATTGCCACAGTTGGTGGCGATGAGAAAATCACTTGCACTATGTTGTTGAACTGCAGGATCAGAGATTCAAATCAAGTTCAGCTCCAACATGGCATGGCCAGCTAGTTACAAAGGAAAGTCATCAATATAGATTTGAACAATTCTTTGGTAGTCTCCTTGCATCAGCGAACGAAAACCCACTGAAACAGACATTTCAAGTGTATTTCTTTCTGGCAAAATGGGAGGGGAAAGGAAAAAAAAAAAGAACTTTTTATTACTGTGTATGTAAGAGTTTGTAAATAGATTTGCCAATGCCCTTATGATACAGTGGAATCCGTGAGGAGGTCACAGGATCGATCCTCGTCGTTTGAAGCTGTTAAGCTTGCCTTTATAATCAAATAAGAATTTTTGAATAGGTTTACTTACTGTAGTTGAGCCAGTATGAACAGGACCCTGCCCAAATAACAGTATATCCTGGATGAAATACTGGGGAACTGACAGACCCATGAAGAGGGAAAAGCCCAGAATGAACAATGTCCTAAAGCTGTTGAGATTGCAGAACTGAAGAAAACCAAGCCCAGCTGATGCTGCTCATGATGACACAAACATTAAAAATCAAAATGCAAAGATTTAAAGGAAGCAAGAAATAGTCCGAGTTGGCATAAGCCCATATGAAAGCGAACAAACGTGATAGCTCAGACTTACCCACATAACCAAAGAGAACACAATACAATGCTGCTACAATGGGCAATGGTATTGAAGCAAGAAAAGCCCCAAATTTCCCTGAAACAATAGAGGAGCAAAATGTCAAAATTTCAAACTTGACTGTCTATGAACGAAGTAATAAACACATTTGAAGATTTTTCATATTCGGATAGCGGAATACTAGACCTAATATAGCGAAGAAAAGCATAAACACTGCTGCTATTTGAATAACTCGCCGGCTTCCAATCTGTGTTAAGCCCAAAAGACCTGCATTTTCACTTGGGAATAAAAGAAAAGGCAATTAGATTGTCTGCAATGTCTAAGATGAAGTTCAAATCCTGAACCAAGATTTATAGAGTTGATGAAAATATGTACACTGATGCAGTGGGGCCAACTCCTGTGCCAAAAAAGCCAGCCACAAGAGTCCCTATGCCCTGAAATCATTGAAAATTGAATAAATGAAATACATACAACTTACAAGACCTTGATCTGTGGGAGTAAAGTCCAGCAATTTTATACTACCAGCCAGCCAACGCCACGGCTAAGGACAGAGGGTGGAATATGTGTTGCACTCCCATATCTTGCTGCTGCTAAGAAAGTCCCAGTGGACTGAAGCCAGGAAATAAAAAGGATGAATCATATTCAGAGCTAATTCAACCAGAAAGAAAAATGAAAGTACTTTCGAAAGGACTTTGATTACGTGCATACAGGTGATAGAATTAGTATTTGAAAACATTCTCAACAAAAGTAGAAAACCAATAGCCAACTTTTGCATCCAAGTTAAAAAATAGTAAAGCAGACCTCTATAATTGCAACAACAGAAGCAGCAAGCGTTACAAAAACATCACCAGCATCGAAAGAAGGACTCCCCCATTGAAATGGATATGGAACCCTTAACCTGCATGAGTGGGAGCAAAATCTAACTGTAAAACAAGGATTTAGATGACTATCCTCATGTATGAAGTCACCATTAGCAGACTACAGAGTCTCCATAATTATACTCCAAATGTAATCATTGTCAAAAGAATAGCATGTGAAGAGGACAATATAAGCTTTGAGAAGACATTTAAGGTGCTTCAGGACTGACCAAGGGGCAGCAGTGATGAGCCCAGATCTATCAGTACGGCAACTTAATTGAGTTTTTGGTGATCTTCTGTCATATGCACCAGCTACAGTCAAGATTTCAGCCAATGCCCATGTAATTATTATTGTGACTATGATTGCAAATCGATCAGCTCCTCTTGAATTCACCGTTTGAGGTATGTACTGCAAGGAGGATATGGTTTATAATGGAAGTCAAACGAGAGATCAGTTAAGATGTAGGATAAAATGTGGACATATTTTGATCTATAAGACGTACCAACCTGTTGCCCCTAATTGCCTTATCATGTTGCTTGTAGACAGACAAATATTTCAAAAAGGTTTAAATTGAAATGAAACAAAGAACGATTGAGAAAGTAACACACCTGGGACAAGATAATCAGGATTACCAATGCAGGGAGTCCGATTTCAACACAGTTTACCAACTACATGAATCAAGTCAAACACAAAGGTTATGTTTGTTAACCATTGATCTTACATTAATATGAAGAAAGTTTGGAACAAATAGAGAGAGAGAGAGAGTGAGAGTATACAATGGGAAAACCAAATGCAAAGAGTCCTAGGCCAGTGAGAGTAACAAGGGGAACCGCACTGAGGGGGCTAAGATACCTGCACAATCATAGCTTCAAATTACCAGGTTCTTCAACAAAGCAAATGCATGATTATCCTTGTCATGCATGCTTATCAAAAGACATCGGATAGAGCGAAGTTTGAATCCTCTGTATTTCTATAGTTACCTGGCAAAGATTCTCCAGAATCCGAAAAACCCAATAATGATTTGCAAGAGAGATGCAACAATAAGTGAGCCTTGTATGACTCTCATGGATTGTCTAAATCTCTGAAATTCAATCAAAATTTAAAAAAAAAAAAAAGTGAGTGAAATCCAGCAACATTTTTGTCCGCAATCAAAAGCCAGCCATTCCCAAGAACAACTCTTCTGCTTCTTCCTTTCTCTTCAGCCACAAAAAAAGCAACCAGCATTTCTGAATTAAGTTCATACACAAAGGGGGCTAAATTTTACCCGATGGGGATCTACATAGATGCTCAGATTTCTAGAGAAAGCAGTGGAGATAGCAGGAATGAGGAAAGCATATGAAGCTCCCACAACCACTGGAAGCCGAGTTCCAAACCAAGTCTGCAACAGTGTGTTTATAGCGGAAACGAAAAGCAGAGTCTGTATCATTTCAGCCTTCTCCACCTATGATTTGAACTTTAGTTAGAAGCCAGAGACTGAGAAATAATTAATCTTGAAACTTAAAATAAAATAAAAAAAACTCCATTGTTATGTTTTTACATTGCCTCCGCCCATCAAAGGAGTAAGTATGGAGGAAACAAGAATGATTGATCCAAGCATCACCAGGTAGTGCTGAAAACCAAGGAGTATTCCTTCGGCTGCAGCCGGAAAAAAAAAGACAAAAAAATCAGCAGTAGAAGAAGTCCTACTAAATTGTTGTAGTGTGAAACAGAATATGGCAACCGGAGAGTTGACGGGCCAAAAAAAAAAAAAAAAAAAAGAATGGAATGATCATTTTCTCTTTGGTTACTTGAACCAGTGCATGAAAACAACAGAGATTAAAATCTTCGGAAACATATTCTTTACAAAACGATAAAATCTGAAAAGATGGAAAGCGAATGCTGCCGGGTTGATTTTAATCGATGCAATTAAAAGACTCATAGCTTCCCATTTCCTTTCTTTCCATCACTTTTTTCCTGGAAAACCAAACGGCATTAAAACGGAAGTTTAAAAAAAAAAAAACACTTGGAATGCTCAACAACACACAGTAAACGTAAAAGCAGCCACAAAAACGTGAAACGTTTGTTCCCGAAACTGAAAATCACGACACCCTTCAGGCCAAAGAAAACACGCAAATTCATCTCCAGCAAACGAAAATTGGCATTGATCAAAGTGGAGAAAGAAAAAGAAGAACAAGAAAGACGGCGGAGAAAATGAGAACGTACGCCAAGAGGGAGAGCTGCTGACGCAGTAGTGGACGCCGGGAAGTTGCTCCTTGACTGGGTGTGGTTGGAATCCATCTGTCTTCGCGGCTCCTGCTTTTGCTGCTTGTGCCATGATTCTGTCGGTGAATGAGGAATGTTACTGAGTTTTCTGTGTGTATATATATTATGATGATGAAGCGAAAAAGCGGAGAATGAGGAGACAGTCATATCCTCGTGTTGTCAGAAAAAATGCTCAGAAAGAGTCAAAATGATGTGTGAAAATACTGCTAGGCGGCGACGTGGAGACTCTACTGTGGACGCATGAAGTTGATACTTTGAGTGAGAGAGAGAGAGAGAGATTGCGCAGTGATGAGTGAAGACGTTCACCTTTGCTTTTGGTTGCAGTTGGTAAAATGGTAGCTGACCTCTTCGCAATTTCTTGCTTTAGTGTGTTTTGTAAGATAGAGAACCAACCATTATACACACACACACTCCCCTCTGGTGGCGGCAGGGAGGGGAGAGATTTTTTGGTTCTATTTATAAGATACTGAGAGAAATTTTTGATATGTATGTACAATTTTACCCCTCATTTATTATTATGCTGATTTTATTTACATGAGGTATAATATATATTAAATAGGGATAAAGTTAGAACGTTATTAAATTTTAAATGAGAGTTAATGAAGTTTAAAGTTTTCTTTGATCTGTGTGAAATATACTAGAAGTGCTTTATAAATAGGACCAGATGAGTATATAGTAATAAATTTATTGAGATAATTAAAAGTTATATTTAATGAATATTGTATCATAATTCAGGCATTGGTTAGGAAATAAAGAGGATCAAAAAAGGAAACACACAGGAAATGAAAGGAAAAAGAGGCCCATTTTCCCTCGGTTTATTAAGTTGCATCTTTCCATAAAACCAAGTTTCATGTAGGTCTCATTTACCTAGAGCACATGACATGAAATGCTAAGTTAATAAAAATTTGGTTTTATTTATTTTTTCTTCTTCACCATCATCTTCTCTACTTAGCCAGTGAATGAAGCATAAGTTCTTCAATTACAGAAATCATGGTTAGAGCCAGAAAAGTAGAGCTGTCAATAAGGGCTAGTCCGGCCCTAAAGGGCTAGCCCTTGAAGGGCCAGGGCCTAAAAGGGCAGGCCCTTTAAAGCCCACATACCTTAAAATTATTTAATTATTAAAGCCCGGCCCTTGAACATACGGGCTCAGGGCTTAAAAGGGCTGGCCCTTTTATGTTATTTTTTTAAAATTTAAATTCTTTTTAATTATTTTAAAATAAAAAATAAAACAACAAAACTTTTAAGATTTTTTATTCAAATTATAAATATAAGTAAAATAAATTAGTGGTGTATAGAAAAAAAATTAAATGCCAATAAACTATTGTCCAAAATAAAAAAAAATCAAAATCTAACAAAACACAAAACACAGACAGATAAAACCTAGCAGTTAAAGATTAACAATATCAACATAATTATTATCTTTATCTTCATCTTCCTCAGTATCATCAAGATCAACAATATTTGATTGTTCTTTACTACAAGTGAGCTCTTCTTCAGTGATAAAAATATTAAGGTTTTTGTCTTCATTTACCTTATCTAAAATAAAACTATGCAGTAGTTATAAGTACAAACAAGAGCCTGAACATCTGTTCGAATAAGAAAAGTTTTACACTTTGTTAAGATATGTAAACTGATGGTAAATGAAGATCTACTAGCTATTATGGTGATTAAAATGTTAAGAATATCAGCTACCATTCTTGAAAGAATTGAAAATTGATTTTAATTGTTCTTCCACAAGTCCAAGACATCTAATTCTTTTCAATTATCTAGCTTGAGTATTGATTCTTCTAAGTATTTTTCTAATTTAAACTTATTCATAAAAAACTAATCTATAACTTTATAAATATATTGATAATAATAATAAAAAATAGGAGGGCTTAAAAGGGCTAGCCCTTGACCCTAAAGGGTTGGCCCTTTTATTTTTGAGCCCTATAGGGCTAGCCCTTTTAAGCCCAATTTCCTTTTAAACCACCTAAAATACAAGCCCGGCCCTCCACTTAAAAAGGCTTAAAAGGGCTGGCCCGATGGGCTTAGCCCGTTTTGACGGCTCTACAGAAAAGGGAAAGAGGTACAAGGGATTGTATACTTATATGCAGCGCTTCTTGTTCACAAAAGTATTATCTGTGTTTGTGCGCGAGTGCGTGACATGAGTCAGCAAGTTTAACATGTTTCACATATATTACCTCCGCTGATTAATATAAAAATCTCATTTAATTTTTATTTTAGTTCTAAATATAAAATCTCAACCTATTTTTTATTTTAATTCTAAATATAAGATCTCAATCTATTTTTTCTCTTGTATTTATATATTTTTTCCTAAAATAGTCTTTGTAATAATGATAGTTCTAGCCATACACTTGATTAGTAAGGATATTTTATAAAAGACAACACCCATTTATCATAAATAACTAATTTAACTTATTTTTTTAATATCCTCAAATTAGTCAACTAGCATTTATAATTAGGACTAGAGGTAGTATTAATAAAAATCTTAGATAGTTAAATTTTATTAACTCTCATTTAAAATTTAATAATTTTTTAATTTTATTTTTCTTTAATATATATTATACCATATAACAGCAAAATCAAGATAATATTAAATAAAAAGTAAAATTGTATATTTATATGAAAATTTTCTCTATTTAAGTATTTATAGACAAAAAAAGTTTCTTCTCTATCTGCCCAATACACAGGACGTCGTCACCTGAGAGATGAACCAATGAACGAAGTATGAAGTCTGTCATAACTCATAACGCTGTAAAATACTCGTGTGAAGAGGGAAAGAGAGAAGAAGCAGGGGCCCACGTTAGTTCCACTTTTGTAATTAGTACTTCTCCGGTCTTTAATATAAGACCCATTTTACTAATTTGATTAGATTAAAGAAGTTAGATAAGTTAGTTAATTATAAGAAAAATAACACATTTTTCTTAAAACACCATAATCACCTTTCTTAATACCTCATCTCCCTCTTCTATTTGATTATGGTTGATACAGTATCCATAGGGGTAATTTAGAGAAAATTGATAAATATGATAAATAGGTCTTATATTTAGGACCAAAACCAACTCATGAATTGGGTCCTATATTAAGGACAGGAAGAGTAATATATTTTGTATATTTTCCTGTTTTTTTTTTTATAAATTCTGTCATAGAGTAAAAAACTTGTGTGAAGAGAGGAACAGAGAAGAATTTTTCCCTATTCAAGCAGCACTTGTCACGCGTGAAAGAGAATCCCGAGGTTTGTAATAATATGCATTTTATCAAATGCAGAGTATTCATTCTTAATATAAGACTTATTTAACTAATTTAATTAGATTAAAAAAGTTAGGTAAGTTAGTTAATTATAAAAAATATGACATGTTTTTTCTAAAACACTATAATCATCTTTCTTAATATCCTCATTCCCTCTTTTACTTGATTATGCTTGAGGGAGTATCAATAAGGGTAATTTAGAAAAAACTGATAAATATAACAAATAGATCTCATACTTATGATCAAAATCAACTCAATAATTAGATCTTGTATTAAGAACCGAGAGAGTATCGACTTATTTGTAGGTTTTGTGCTTATATGACCTGCCCATTAGCTTGTTCATATAATCAAGTTAATAAGAATTGGGATTTTCTTGTTCATATGATCAAGTTAATAAGAATTGGGATTTTCGTTCTTTTATAGCAAAAGAGAAGTCAATAAACACAAGTTTCATCACATCATTATGGAAAAATGTATAGAGAGAGAAAGCAAATAGGAATACATGTTAGTTCTATTTCTCTCTCTCTTTATGCTGCTCTTGTTATGTGCAAAAGAGAATCAATAGATTAGTAATACTATCTCCGATCCTAAATATAAGAACTAATTGACTAATTTAAACAAATTAACAAAATAAGTTAAGTTAGTTATTTGTAATAAATAAGTATTGTTTTTTCTAAAATATCTTTGCCACTCAAGTTTATCAACTAGAACTACTATTATTAGAAGGATTATTTTAAAAAAATAAATAAATATGAGAGGCAAAGTAGACTGGGTTCTTATATTTAGGATCAAAATAAAAGTCAAACGAGATCTTATATTAATAATCGAAGGTAGTAATTTGTATTTCGTCAAATGCAAATTATTAAGTAATGTGTAGTTCTCATATCATACTGTTTATATCACCAAGCTAATAGGGATTAGATTTTTCACTTCTATCATTAGAAAACTGAGAAGACAAGGAATAAAGCACAACCTCAATCACAACGTTATAGAAAACCTGTGCAGAGAAAGAAATTAAAGAGAGGAAGGACATCCTCCATGTTCAATTCTATTTTTCCCTCTTCATGTAGTGCAAAGGAGAATCATGAAATAATATGCATCTAACAAAATACAAAATGTACCATGTTATCTGTAGGTCTTATACTTATATGACCTGACCATTAGCATGTGTGATATGATGTTTGAATTAATGTGTTTTTAGAGGAGAAATCCGTAAATAAAGCATACAAATGTTTCGGCGTCTGCCAAAATTAAAAAAAGTTTTTGACAAAAAATAGATATTGAGAGAGAGAGAGATGTTTGTTCTATTTGTCTCGTTTCACACAACTTTTGAGGCCTAAAAAAAAAAAAACTCCTCCAGTCTTTAATATAAGAGTTAATTGTTAAGTTAATTTTGGTCTTAAAGATATGACCTATTTATCATATCTATCAATTTTTTTTTAAAATTATCCTTATGGATACTCCTTCAACTATAATCAAGTAAGTGAGGGAGGAATGATATTGAGAAAGATGATTATGGAACTTTGGGAAAAACATGTCATATTTTTTATAACTAACTAACTTACCTAACTTCTTTAATCTAATTAAATTAGATAAAGAGGTATTATATTAAGGACAGGAGGAGTATCTTAATTTTTGATAATACTATCTCCGGTCCTTAATATAAAACCCCATTTGACTTTTATTTTGATCCTAGATATAAGACACCAATCTACTTTGTCTCTTATATTTATTTATTTTTTTCTAAGATAGTCCTTTAATAATGGTAGTTCTAGATAACAAACTTGATTAGTAAGGATATTTTAGGAAAATAACACATATTCATTACAAATAACTAATTTAACTAAGTTTTTTAATCTTTCCAAATTAATCAACTAGGTTTTATGATCAGGACTAGAGGTAGTATATATCTTACCAAAGGCATGTGTAGGTCTCATCTCTACATATGACTTGGCTATTATGATATGTAATAAGACGTGTGAAGTTAGTATCGACTTGCCATTTCTTGTTTACTTCATTTATTACC